GGGGGGGCCAGGGCGGGTTAGCCGGGAGTTGGAGCTAAAAAAATTTTCCCCCCCCCCCCCCCCAAATGGTTCCTGGTCAATGGGTAATTGACCTGTGGGAACTCACTGCCACATGATGTGGCAAAAGGTGACAGCCTGAGTTGGCTTGGAAAGAGACTGAAGGCAAACTCATGGAGTCGGTGGTCTGTGCAGCCTTGAGAACGGCAGGAGCGCGCCGTCCATGAATCTTACCTGCATAAAGTGTCTTTTGTAGGACCGACAATAAGCATCAACAAAACTACAAATGAAAGCTTCCCCCCCCCCCCTTTTGGAAGACTTCCTGCAAGTAGAAACGGGCTTATAATTCTGGAAACTCCCGTTGGGGCTTGACTTTTAAAATACTGATGCAAAATTGACTGGTAGTTGTTAAACTGAATGAACTGAATATATGTACTTGACAAGGATGTTATAATAGTACGTTATGCACTTCATAGAATGATCGTTTTAAATAGAACACATTAATTTACAAAACTTTCTTGCAGTGTATTTTTATTTGTTACTTGACTCTCATAACACTGTAGCTCGGGTTGCTACAGTCTCCAGGGGATACCTGAAGATCTCCTGGGATTACAATTGATTTCTGCATGACAAGAGTTCATTTCCGCTGGAGGCAGTGGCTGATTTGGCAGGTGGGCTCGATGGCATTATGCCCTGCTGAGATTTCTCCCCAGACCCTGTCCTCCACAGGTACCCCCCCCCCCCAATCTTCAGGGATTTCTCTGCACGGAAATGGCAACCCTAAATTGTGGAGAAGATTAGTTGGTGTGGGAATTGCTGTGGTGGTATGTGAGGGAGCACTCTTTAAAAATTATATTTCCCTGTATACCTGGAGGGTTCCCTGAATATGAAGAAAGATTTGCTTTTCTGGTGTTCTGCTCATGCACAGTCAACGATCAACCTCACTTGTTCGAGTAATCTGTGGGTGTGATTGTTCGTTACTTTCTCACCCTGCTGCTTCTCTAAGGATCTCAGAATGGTATCCTGTCTTCCATTTTATTCTCACAGCAACACTGTGAGGTAGGTTAGACTGAGAAAGTGACTAACTGGTAGTCACCCAGAACAAAGTGGCATCTTTAAGACCAGCAGAGTTTAATTTCTGGGTCTAAGCTTTTGTGTGCATCAGAAGAAGTGTGCATGCACACGGAAGCTGACACCCAGAATTCAGCTTTGTTGGTCTTAAAGGTGCCACTGGACTCGAACTTTGTTCTGTTGCTTCGGACCAACACGGCTACCCACCTGAACCTCTCTCGATAGCCAGCCAGTGAGGTTCATGGCAGATTGATGATCTGAATCCTACCTCCATACCCCAGTTCCTCTTTCAAGATTGCTAGTAGCAAGTGATGGAGCAGACTAATTTTACCTCTCTTGCCTCCCCCCCCCGCCACTGACTGTATTTATTTATTTTATTAACTTGTACCCTGCCTCCCCCACCACCACCTCCGCCACTGGGGACCTAAAGCAGCTTACATCATTCACAACAGGTTAGGCTGAGAGAGTGTGACTGGCCCAAGGTCACCCGGTGAGCTTCCATGGCACACGTGGGGATTCAAAACTGGGTCTCCCAGTGACTAGTCTGATGTTCTTAACCACTACACCACAGCGGCTGTTGGCATTCTGTATTTTCTGGATCATGCTCCGTCCTCATCAAACCACTGAGGGTTCTTTAAAAAAAAAAAATTCTGATTGTTTTACGAAGTTGTATTCATCAGTGTATCAGGGCCATCCCCTTAGTATGTACAAACCCTTTTCAGCCTGGCTTTGCTGATGCAGTGTGTAGCACAATCCAGCCGTTTAGACGATACTGTGAAAAGAAGGTTAATCGTGCCACTGAACCTGGACGACACAGTTTGAATCCCCGCTTTGCCATGGAAGCTCTCTGGGTGACCTTGGGTCAGTTGCGTACACTTAGCCTGACCTCCCTCACAGGGCTGGTGGGAGGATACAACGGAGGAGAGGAGAATGATGTAAGCCACTTCGAGAGATAGTTGGAGTATAAATGTAGTAAGTTAACAGAAACACATGCACAAGGTGTTGCCACTTTCTATGGCGCCAGACCAGGTCAGTTTGGTAAGTCCAGGTAAGTCCAGAGCCAGTTTGGTGTAGTGGTTAAGAGCAATGGACTCTTAACCACTACACCAAACTGGGGTTTGATTACCCTCTCCTCCACATGCAGCTCCTAGTGTGACCTTGGGTCAGTTACAAGTTATTTCAGAGCTGTTCTCTCGCAAGCAGTTCTTGAAAGAGCTCTCTCAGCCCCACCTACCACAGGGTATCGGTTGTGGGGAAAGGAAGGGAAGGAGATTGGAAGCCGCTCTGAGACTCCGAGTGAAGGGCGAGGTAGAAATCCAATCTCCTCCTCCTTCCCACTCTGACTGGCAGCAGCTCTCCAGGATCTCGAGTAGCAGCCTTTCACATTGTCTGCTACCGGGTCCTTTTAAAGTGAGGATGTCAGGGATTGAACCTGGGACCTTCTGCTTGCAAAGCAGATGCACTATTGCTGTACCATGGGACTGTGGGACTTCACAGAATGAAAGGAAGAAGACGAGGAGTTTTCCTGAAAGAATTTGCAATCTAAAAATTCTATGCAAGTAGCAACAGTTGGAGGCAGGGGTAAACAGCAGAAGAGCAGGAAATTCGCTGGTTACATGAGGTAGGCTTGGAGTCGGACCGGAGATTGGAGACTTTGCCCTAAATTGTGACTTTGGTGCATCTCTAGTGAAGTGATTTCTCTGGGTCTGGGATCAGTCTATGTGACCAGGGCTGTTTTAGATGAGTCCTAACTTTGAGCTGGAATAAAGCTCTACTTTTTAAAGCTTCAGTTTAAGCAACCTTTTGATGTGTTTGAGCTGCTGCTAGCAAGGGCTAGGGAGCGAGCCTAGATAGACAAGAAGTCGGTTTTGCTTTGTGCTCAGTTTTCTCCTTCTTGACCTGAATGCAAGGAAATTGTGCCGCTACTCAGGGAAAGCTCTTGTCCCGCCGGATTTCTTGAAATGGCTTGCAGTACATTTCTTCAAAGGATGTGACTCACTACCATTAAACAGTTTTTGGTGACCACAGCTGCTGAATTTAGTTCAAGAGTTTAGCCAATATGTGATCTACTTCCATTTGACTAAATTTGGTATTGTAAGGGATATTTTGTTTGTCGTGTGGGGCTGCCCTGGATTTTTATTACGGGTGCCTCTTACTGATTCAGCACTGCTAGGTCTGAGTTAGGATAAAGTTCATATTGAATTTATGGCTGGAGAAAACTCAAAACGTAAGTGATCTTGGGTCACTAGGCAGTTTCTGAACATCTAGTATTTGAAAGTCATTTAGAATAGCTGCTTTTATTTTGAGCGTGAAGCATTCTCTTCAGACGGAGGTGCATGGAATTGGATCCATCAGACCCACCTTTTCCAGAACTCTGTTCTGACTCTGCCTACTTTTGCGGGCAAAGCAGTTGGTCCATCAACGTACCCTGTAATAAAATCGTGCTCTTACACAGATCTGGAACAAGACGTGTCCTTGCCTGTGCTAACGTAGTATCCGAGTGTAGCAGCCCAGCCTCATTGCCCTGTGATGTCAGATTAATCAGATTATGTGTTTGTCATCAAGGTCCTTACTGTAAAAGTGTGCGTGTGTGTGTGTGAGAGAGAGGAAAAGTCTTTACCAGATTAGAACAAAAATAGAACTGCTGCTGTAATTGGCCCTGTCACTGAACCCAAGGTCTCTATCAGCCTGGCAAGCCGTTCCTCAGATACTTTCAATAAGGCTTGCTAAAACCACCTAGCCGTGGTCTCCTGTCAGGGAACTTTGTTGCTGGGAGAGAGTTTTTAGGGTTCGTACCGCTGGACTGGAGTGATGTCAATTTTCTGCTCGTGTTTGTTCTCGTGTTTCAGAGATACAACCTTTTGTGGCACATCAGATAGGCAGCTGCTTGCTCGGTTGGTCCCCAGGATCAATATACCTTTCCATTTTGGGGCTCTCTTCCCCTCCCCCAATGACTTCAGTTTATTGTTTCCTGAGAAAATATTACACATGCTCTGCCCTCCTTGCAGTGAACTAAGGTGACCCTTGGTCAGATTTGTAGGGGAGGTATTCTGGGAAGCCCTCAGAACTGGGGGTGGGTGGGGGAGAGACTTTTGCTGCCATCAGCAATGGGGTGGGTGGGAAAATATGTTTTGCTCACCTTTTTGTGCTCAGCTGGGACTTGGCAATGAACCTCCCATACTACAGACTAAAGAGTTGCGAAGGGGGGAAGCCGTGGAGGATAAGTCTTAGTGGGTACTAGCCGTGGTGACTAAGAGAAACCTCCATATTCAGAGGCAGTCAACCTCTGAATCCCAGAGCAAGGAGGCAGCATTAGGGGAAGGCCTGGGCCTCTATGCCCTGTTGTTGGACCTCCAGAGTAACTGCTTGGCCACTGTGTGAGGCAGGATGCTGGGCTAGATGGGCCACGGGTCTGATCCAGGAGGGTTATTTTATGTTTTTAAAACTTTGAAGGAAAACCAGTCCTTGTCTTCCTTTCCTGAGGTAGTAATGCCGAGCCATTTGAAGAACAAGAAGAAGAGGAAGAGATTGGATTTATTCCCTGCCCTTCACTACTCAAAGGAGTTTCAGAGCGGGTTACAATCTCCTTCCCTTCCTTTCCCCACAACCGATACACTGTGGTAGGTGGGGCTGAGAGAGCTGTTTCGAGAACTACTCTTGAGAGGACAGCTCTGAAAGAACTTGTGACTGACCCAAGGGCACACCAGCAGCTGCATGTGGAGGAGTGGGGAATCAAACCCAGTTCTCCCAGATTAGAGTCCACATTCCTAACCACTACACCAAACTGGCTCTCTTGAAGGGAGTGGGCTGAGAGCAACTTATTCCAGACAAGAGAATAAAGTTTGAGTCCAGTGGCACCTTAAAGACCAACAAAGTTTAATTCTGTGTCATAAGCTTTCATGTGCATGCATGGCTGAATTCCGTCTAACTGGGGAGTTGGCTGACAAAACACAAAGAGAAATTAAAGCGTATCAAGCCAGTTGATCCCATAATCTGGATGCCTCGTGATGAGTGTCCAGGTTGTAGCCTTCCTCCTACATGGACAGAGACAGAACAAAGAGCCAACGGCTGGGTGTGCCTTTGACAGATTATTTGAATCCTGAAGCGTAATTGTGCCATCGGTTTAGTTCCAGCAGGATTCTGGGGGGAGTTTATCCTCTCACTCAATGTTCCCTCTAAGCTATGGAGTCTTGTGAGCAAAAATTCTACTTTGTGAGCTACTGGCATTAAAGTTGTGAGCGAGCAATTTGGCTACTGCATAAATTAGTTTGCTCTGGAGCCATTCTTCCTGAGCTAAGACAAAAATGTGTGAGCTGGAGGCTAAAAAACTGTGAGCTAGCTCACACTAACTCAACTTAGAGGGAACACTGGTTAGGATTTAGAGGTGTTGCGAACCATTCATAGGTTGGTCTTGCTAACCGGCCAAGGCTATGGCGTTTAGCTAAATATGGTGGGCTTTGGGGGCATCTGTGCTATTCTGCCCTGGATGGCCCATTTCCCTTTCTTACCCGTTAAGCCTATCTGGCCGCTGCATCCTGGACTTCTTGCGATGCAGGCAAACAGTTCCAGTTTTCGACCTGCAGGAAGGGGGATCTTAGGCAGACGGTTGGCAGCATCCCTGCCCACATCCAGTGAGCAGAGTCATTTCAGTTTGCAAAGCCGGCTTCGACATAGCTTTGTGGGAAGCGTATTGTAAAAGTATTGATTTATTGGCTTCCTCCAGCCGCAGCCTGCGATCGACAGTAAAAGCGACACAAGGAAAACAGCATCTCACATGGTTTGAAAATAAGCCGTAAAACCCAGGGCAGTGGTCCTCACTCTGTGGCTCACAGAGAGCCACAGCTACTGCTACTCTCTACCCAAAGAGCCACATTTTCTTCCACCCCTGCACCCCAGGGATGTTTGCAGCTTACCCATTCCTCTGGTGGCTGTTTTGAGGTGAAACCACCCGCCAGGCACAAGTCCAACTGGGCACCGGCCTTGTTCACTTTCCTGAAATATGTGACAGATGCCACATTGGGAAACAGTTGCACAGAAGAGCCACGAGTGGCATGTCAAAAAGCTACAAAAGGAAAGGATGGACAAAAGGAGCTACTACTTTACACAGAGAATGATGATAATGGTGGATTCACTGCCAGAGGGCGTAGTGATGGCCACAGGAATAAACAGCTTTCAAAGGGGATTAGATATTCATGGAGGATGTTTGTCAGTGGTTACTAGAGAGAACCTCCACACTGAGAGGTGCTAATCCTCTGAATCCCAGAGCCAGGAAGCAACATCAGAAGTCCTTGGCCTCCATGCCCTGTTATTGGCCCTCCAGAAGAACTGGTTGGCCACTGTGTGAGACAGGATGCTGGACTAGATAGACCCCTGGTCTGATCCAGCAGGCCTCTTCTGATGTTCTTAGGAAGGCCTCAGCCTCTATGCCTTGTTGCTGATCATCCGGAGGAACTGGTTGGCCACTGTGTGAGACAGGAGGCTGGACTAGATGGACCACTGGTCTGATCCAGCAAGGCTCTTCTTATGTTCTTACATGTGGCTCTCAAACCACTTGAGTATGTATCATTGTCATAGGGCAGGGCTTGACAAATCCCAGGTGCCTGGGTACCATGGCACCTAGTCTTTTTATCATTCATTTCCTGTAATTGCCTCTTGGTGATTCTTAGTAGAAGCATAAAGCTTAGTTAGGTGAAGGACAGAGGTTAGCTTTTTTTTCTGATGACAACCCGGGTTACCCTGTATTTATTTATAGACTACAAAATTGTTGTTGGAGCTTTAAAAAAATGACAAGAGTTTAGGATTGGGCTTTGTGGTCACAATAACTAGAAAGTATGGATGGTTTTTAAAATATAAAACCCCGAAGGCTGAAAAGCAAGCCCGGTTCCTAAATCTTTGGAGTGGCTCATAAAGCCAAACAAAATTTGTCAAGACCTGCCACAGGGTATATAAAATGATGTAACTTAACCTAGTGCCTTAAGGGGGGGAATTATCGTGGGTCTTGCAACTTCATAAGCTAGATGCCGTGTGAACCATTGTGGGGAGGGCATTCCATATCTGAGGTGCCACTATGGGAAAAGGCTGTGCTTCTGATCGCCACCCACCTAACCTTGCAAAGCAGGGGCTCTCTGATGCTGAAAGTAGTGGTGCATGTGTGTGTGAATCAGCATGATGTGGTGGTTAGGAGTGGTGGACTCTAATCTAGAGAACCAGGTTTCATTCCCCACTCTGCCACATGAAGCCTGCTGGGTGATCTCGGGCCAGTCACTGTTCTCTCAGAACTTTCTCAGCCCCACCTGCCTCACAAGGTGCCCGTTGTGGGGAGAGGAGGGGAAGGCAACCGCAAGCTGCTTTGAGACTCCTTAGGGTGGAGAAAAAGTGGGATATAAAAACCAATTCTTCTTCTTCCGAATAGGTAAACTTTCCCCTTACCCAGCACTGCAATCCCATTCTAAGTTTCTGTTAGAAGAAACTTAATGAGATCTGATTATAATCCAATTTCTTGTCAAGTTTGGCCATTAGAGGACTTTAAAAGCAGAGTAGACAAATTCATGAAGGAGAGATCTCTCCTTGGCTGTTGGACTGAATGCTCAGTGGGGTTTTATGTTCTGAAGCCAGGTTTCATCCAAGCCCATTGCCAGAGGTGCTATTGTTTTCCTGGTTCTGATCCAGAAGGGCTTGCCCTCATCTTCCTTTACGGTATTCCTTGAGCTAAATATGTATGTTCCAAAGTCTGGATGTACAACATCATTGGGCGAACGAGGAGTGGGGATTTGCCATAAGGTGTTACAACTAAAACAAGTCTCTGTGATTTTCCCGTAATGAACTGTTTCTCCAGGTGTTTTAACAAATGTAGTTCCCCATCACAAACCACAGGATCTGAAGGTGATGGGGGTGTCAAAGGAAGCGAGAACGGGGTAGCGGTGCCAGAAGCTCTCAGTGTGCAGATTTCATTTCCCATAACAAAGAGAGAGGCTTGTGTTGTAGCCTGGACACACACGTTTACTGCCTCATTGAGGGCTGGGATCATCTTTAAGCCAAAAACTTGTTATTGGAGCTGCATCTCAAGGCAAAATCATTTGTGCTTCTTAGAGTTCAGCCTCTTTGTGTTTCATCTCTGAATAACGGATGGACTTTTTTGTTCCTATTTCAGATCTCATCCTTCCCAGTGGCTTTAGACCTTCCAAAAGTTCGCTCAGGAAAAGGTTTGTGCTACCGTGTACGTTCTTTGTTATTGAGTGGGGAAAGCAATTTATAAGGGAGGGAAAGGATAGACTGCCAAAATACTTTTGAAGCCGTCTAACCTGACTTGTCCCTTCCTTGCACCACCTTTGATGGGGTGAGCGATTTCTTTTTACAAATCCCTGTGATCTCAGGTCATTTTACAGAAGGCGTCTGGGAGCAGTGGCAAATTATTTGCGCCCAGCAGATCATTCCGAGTTATGTTATATGTGACAGCAGCAGATCCATTTGTCTGATTATAGATCGCTCCTAATAAAGCAGAGTTTGGCTGGGAAAGATTCGAGGTGCATCACAAGGAGTGTCGGGAGGGCACGGACAGTGCTCCCTAAACATTTTTCTCCCACTGTGTTTCCATAGCCAGACGTAACCCTTACCAGGATCAAGACAGGTAGGGAGAAAAGGACAAGCGCCCTCCCTGATTGGTCAAAACGGGTAGCCATGTTAGTCTGTCCGTAGCCGTAGAAAAGAGCAAGAGTCCAGGAGCACCTTAAAGACTAACAAAATATGTGGCAGGAGCTTTCGTGAGTCACTGCTCACTTCTTCAGATAAGGGCTGCGTCTGAAGACATGAGCAGTGACTCACGAAAGCTCCTACCCTCTCATAAATGTTGTTAGTCTTCAAGGTGCTACTGGACTCTTGCTCTTTGCTACTCCCCGATTGGGAGTCTTCTTGACTTAATTTAGATCCTGCCACTGTAGGTTCTTGTTTCATCTTCCAGAACATAATGTGAAGCAAAGTATGTGCAAAGCTTCTTCATAGCAACGTTTTTTTTAAATGTCAGTGGTGAGAATTGTCTTTTCGTGCCCTGATACTACTTCCTCCAGACTTGGTAGTGACACAGCCAAGAGCCTCAGAATGAGGGCGTTGGGGCGGGGAATGGTGCGGTGTTGAGAAACAGCTGCGGAAGCGTCGGAGATTGCAAATATGGGAGCTCATTTGGCTCGTCGGTATCTCTGGGATGCCGAAGTAGAGCCTGATCCGCTCAAAATGCCGACCTTCGACCCCCAGTATGGCTTTCCGGAACGCAAGGAACGGGTGATGATAGCAACACAGCAGCAGATGAACGATGCCCAGCTTCCTCTTGAGGAGCGGGATTATTGTGCCCATCATCTCATCAAGTTGATGAAATGCAAGCGTGACCATTTCCCCAATATCTTTGCATGCAAACATGAGCGCCATGACTGGAATTATTGCGAGCACATGGACTATGTCATGCGCATGAAAGAGTTTGAATGGGAGAGGCGCCTTCTGGTTAGAAAGAAGCGCATTGAACAAAAGGAAGAGGCAGCAGCAGCATCTTAACTGACTTGAGAGTGCTTCTGCAGGCTCCCTCTACAAGCCTGCATAATTCTCTAGGTCTGTTATGTTGGAAAATAAACTTTATCTTGCATTTTCAAAAAAAGAGAAAAGAATGAGGGCATTTATGCCCTGACCTGGATAGCCCAGGCAAGCCCGATCTTGTCAGATCTCGGAAGCTAAGGAGGGTTGGGCCTAGTTAGTGCTCAGATGGGAGGCCACCAAGGAATACCAGAGCTGGGATGCAGAGACAGACGATAGCAAGCCACCTCTCTGAAATGCCCAAGCCCCACTAGGGGTTGCTAGAAGTCAACCATGGCTTCCAGGTGTGCGCGCGCGCACACACACACAATACTAAAAAAAGAAGAAAAAAAGAATGAGAGCATTTGTTACCACTTCTCACCCAGCCACCAGTTTGCTTCCTGCAGTCAGGACTGGAATCTCTCCTTGGCCCAGGACAGCTTTTAACACCTAAGATCTCTCTTTTTATATCCTTTCTCCAGCCTTGCTCCCTGATCATGGCCAAATGATGCTGCTTTGGGTCAGCCAACCTCTGGCCGAGTGGCACATACTCTTGGTAGGTCCTCTAAGACCTTCACTGCTTAGGACCTGCATCTCTAAAGGACTGCCTCTCCCCTCAGATCCCTGTGTGCCAGCTTCAGTCCTTAGGTTGGCAGTGACTGCCTCTTCCCCTGCTTAAGGTAGCCTGCTTGGCATCAACCAAAGCCCAGGCCTTTATTTACAGGAGCTTCCACCTATGCAGAGGTTGATTCGGGGGGAATCGTGGGGGATTGCAGTTCCCCCGGGTAAGATGCAGGGGGCGGGGCACATGACGAAGCCCCGCCCCCTTCTTCCGGCTGCCCCCCCCCCTGCTTCCAGCCTCATTCTGTTGCAGAAGGAGGAAGAAGCAGGAGGGTAAGTTGGCGTCCTTCCCCTCTGCCTGGCCGAGGCCAGTCCACATGGCCTCCGCAAGGACTCCCAGCCCCATCCAGGAGCTTCCCCGAGGTAGCTGTGTTAGTCTGTTGCTGCAAAATAGTCCAAGAGTTCAAATAGCACCTTTAAGACTAACAAATAGCACCTTTAAGACTAACCTTTAAGACTAAGACTAATTGAGTGGTGGGTGTGGCCTTATGACACACTTCCGCTGATGGCAGGGGGTGTGGCCTTATGACACACTTCCGGTGATGTCAGGGGGTGTGGCATATGCTAATGAGTTATGCTAATGAATTCCCCTAGCTCTTTTTCTACGTAGCGACCCCTGCACCTATGGAATGGTTCCCTGAGGAGGTGAGGGAGGGCGTCATCATCTTTAGAACATTGTAGGAGGCACAACAAGTCTGTTTGCAGGGGTGGCCAAACTGTGGCTCTTCCACACATATTGTGGAGCTCCCGGCAGGGCAGCTGGGGAAGCTAAATATCATTAGCAAACAAATATAATTGGACAAATAAATATCATTATCTTCTTTTACCCCTTTTTGTTATTATTTTTGGCAGTCTCATTTAATGTTAATAAAAAGCAAATCTGCATATTTTCCAAATAAAAACATGTAATATTTGTTCATGTCTTGCGGCTCTGAAACATCTGATGTTTATTCTATGTGGCTCTTACGTTAAGCAAGTTTGGCCACCCCTGCTCTAGGGCTTTTCATGGGGTATTGGTTGCTAAGCAGTTGGGGGTAGGGTTGAGGCTGCTGGGTTTTATTGTTCTTTGCAGGGGCCATTTCTTGTGGGAGCGCACAGGAGCGGAGCTCCGGCAGTAAGGAGCCCAGGGGGCAGGCACATGCTACAAGGCCCCCCCTGCTCCCAGCAGCCCTCAGTTGGGCCAAGAGGAGCAAGAAATACCCAAGTAAGTTGCAGAGCCATCCCCGGCCCGCCTTCAGGTACAAGCTCTCCCTCCTCTGTGAGGGCAGATCTGCACGTCCCCCCCCCCCCCACAATAGCTAGCAATCCAAAAACAGTCCAGTGGAGCCTGAGCGGTGAGTGTTGCCTTCTGACACACTTCCGGTGATGTCAGGGGGTGTGGCATATGCACATAAGTTATGCTAATGAGCTTCTGCACCTCTTTTTCTACTGAATGACCCCTGGGTCTTTGTATGTTTTAAATTTGGGTTTGTAAGCTGCTTTGAACCACGAAGGAAAGGCAGGATATAAATACATCCTAGTCAGCAAGATTCAGATTTAACTTGTCCTTTGCAGTTGTGTGTGGGCCTCTATCATTTCTGCACTGGGTTAAAGGGGAAAATAAGTTGTCTACTCAGTCTAAGTTAGTATTGTCAACTCAAGAATGGCAGCAGCTCTCCAGGGTCTCAGGGAGAGGTCTTTCACATCACCCACTGCCAGATCTTCTAAAATTGGAGATGCCAGGGATTGAAGCTAGGACTTTCTGTGCACTGAGCAGTTGTTCAGCCGTTGAACCACAGTGCTTAAGGCAAAGTAGGATTAACGTTAAGACCTATTGGAAGATAAGGAGCTATAACAAGAAGTTACAGAGGGAGAGGCAGGCAATGGCAAACCACCTCTGAATGGCTCTTGCCTTAAAAACCCCTTCCAGGGGTTGCCGTATGTCCGCTGTGATGGCAAAAAATAAAAATAAAGAAATATGTGGGTTCAGAGATGTTGGTGTTCAAGTGTGTGTCGTTTTGTAAGTTTCATCTCTTTTCTCCTAAATAAAATTAGAAGCAGCCCTTGAGTATTCAGGAGGTGTACTTTGGCTTAGTGGCAGAGGACTAGTTTAACATGCAGAAGGTCCCAGGTTCAATCTCTGGCAGCCAGTTGTTGGCTTTAAGAACATAAAAAGAGCCCTGCTGGATCAGACCAATGGTCCATCTAGTCCAGCAACTTGTCTCGCACAGCAGCCAACCAGTTCCTCTGGAGGGCCAACAGCAGGGCAGAGAGGCTGAGGCCTTCCCCTGATGTTGCCTCCTGGCTCTGGGATTCAGAGGATTAGTGCCTCTGAATGTGGAGGTTCCCTCACCATGGCTAATAGCCAGTGATAGACCTCTCCTCCATTTCAAGCTATTTATTCCTGCGGCCATCACTACACCCTCTTGCAGTGAATTCCACATTTTAGTCAATCTCTTGTGTAAAGTAGTATTTCCTTTTGTCCATCCTGAACCTCCTGCCCTTCAGCTTCCTTGATTCCCTTTAGTCACTATGGCTAGCCACCAATAAACCTATCCTCCATCAATCTATCTAATCCCCTTTGAAAGCTGTTTATTCCTGTGCCCATCACTATGTTCTTTGACTTTGATGGACTACAAGAGAGCTTGGGCTCAGGCTTTCGTGGGAGTGTTTTTGAACTATGGAGCCCTGAATGGTCTGAGACCAGGATATTTCTGGACTACGTTCTCTTGCGGGAAACCACATGTTTGTTAAGGTTAATCTTCAGGAAACTTGTTCCAAATACATTTTTGGAGGGTGATGTGAGTTGCTGCTGCAAACAGGGCCTTTTCTGTGGTGGCTCCAGCTTTCATTGCGCTTTCCCTAGGTATCCTCTCTGATGTTTTTCATTTTACCTTTGGCAAGTTGTAGTTTAGGATAGGTGTGTTTGGCTCTATTTCCTGTAAAACTCTGTATTCTGACTTTGGGTTTGATCCTTTGTATGGTTTTTAATCAGTCATATTTTTTTATACGTCACTTAGCATTTTACTGAAATTAAAAGCAGGAA